GTGTTTAGGTTTTTACACTGACCTCCTTTGAGGTTCCATTTCCTCTCTGATTGTATATCAATTCCTCTCTACTTTGGCCTCCTCTAGTAAAATAACAATACTATTTCAATGGATAAAGTAATGTTTATACATTTAATAAAATATTATTTAATGGGGGTCTGGGATTTAGCTCAGCAGGCAGAAATACCTCCCTGGGAAGCGCTAGGTTATGAGTTTGATCCACGCTACCTAAAAAAAATGTGTTTTAAACTGCAATGAAAGAAAATAATTTTATTTGTGAACATGTAGATTAACAAGATTTTTAATTAAATATGTCAATGGCAAATTAAACAATGTTAATAGTCATATTTAGAATCTAAAGATGTTGTGCTGGGTATTGAGCTAAGTGGTCAAAGCACCTGCCTGGCAAGCACAAGGTCAGGAGTTCAATCCCTTGTACCAAAGAAAAATCTACAGTTGTCAAACATGTAATGCTATAAGCACAACTATGAAAATTGATAATTGTTCATTAAAAAGCTCAATGTTTCTTTTGTCATCTATGAAGTACCTACAAATAACATGGTAAATACAGTGAGTAATAAACTGTGCACCATATCATTGCTATTGGCTGAGCGCTGCTTTTATTTTTCCCCACATTGTTGAAAGATGAAAATGATTGGTAATGATACAGAAATTGTGATAATAATTTTTTTTCAATTTTATGGGATATTTCACTACATCCATTAAGTACATTTTATTTGCTACAATTATGCTAAGTGAAATAAATAAATAATTCTTAATGTTACAGGCATCTGTGTTAGTTAGAAATATAGGCAGTCAGATAGTGATATAATGGAATGAAACTCCTGACCTACTGTGTCTGGTAGGAGTTTGTGTTCTATAAAATAGAAGAATGAATTTTAGGAACAATGGAGGTGAAGAGCACAATATAACTACTGAGAGAAAAAAGTGTAAGATTTTTGCTTTAGATAGCATATTACAGCAGTGGGAAGCAGGCCAGGGGACATTTACCCTGAGCTCACTTACCCCTCCCTTAGGCAACTTATCTGTGGCATGAAAACAGCCCCAATTAGCTACTGGCACATCAGCAATGCCACCTTTATGCACCACCCCAGTCAAACCGTAAATGTAATCCCCCTCACCATGTATCCAGCAGAAAAAGGCAGATGTCTAGTCGTCATTCGGTACTCTCCACCTTCTTAGAATAAAGGCCAGTTTTAATTTATATTCTCTCCTTTACCACAGTGAAAACACTATCAGAAAGCTTCTGTCTGAGAGGAGGGGTCATAAGTGGGTTGTCAAGGACTCTGTATCTTCTAGGGACTTTATAGAATAAAATCAGGGGGTGAGATGGGTTTAAGGTGGGGAAAATTAGGAACTCACAAGGCAGGTGTGCAAAACTTTGGACAGACCTATGTTTAGCCAATATAATTAATAGTTCAGGTAAAATCATTTACACTGCAGACAAATGGGGAAGTGAGGTCATAGAAAGCAGGCATTTTCAGAGCAGTAACTCTCTTCTATGGGACTGGGAGGGTGACTCCTGACTTCAGCAGGGTGACAGGGAACTATTTAGAAAATCAATTCTTAGGATGTGAATGCATTTGCTTGGTATTTTCTCTTGAGGCCTGTCCCATAACAGGAGGTATCTGTCTCCCAATAGTTGCAAGGTATGTGGGCTTCTGAGCTGCACATATCTAGGACCTGATTCTGTCTCCCTGGCTCTATATTTCTAACTAACTCAGCTGCCTATAACATCAGGGCTTGCCCCTCAAAGAAGCCAGAAAATAAGTTCAGATTGGTTGCAGGATTGGAAGAGACCATCACCTCCTGCTGTGGGCCAAATCTCAAAGCAAAAGGTAAATTAAATACAACCAAGTGCTAAGGACCAACAGTCCAAATAGTTCTCTGATCACCCTGAGGAACAAAAGAGTCACCATCCCAACCCTCTACAAGAAGATTCTCTGCTCTGAAATCTGCCCACTTATTATTACTTGCTCTCCCATTTGTTCCCAATTTAATCAATTTTACCAGAGCAATTAACCTTATTGGTTGACCACATTTCTACTCTGCCTTATGCTTAACTTATTTTCCCCTCCCCTGGACCCATCTAACCTCATGGTTTCACTCTATACAAGTTCCTTAAAAAGACAAAGTCTTTGGCAACACACTGAGACCCTTCCTGTCTCTCAGACAGAAGCTTTCCTTCTCCCAATAAATATATTCCACTCTTAAACTCCATCATTCCTAAAATTCATTCTTCAATTTTAGAGAACACAAACTCATACCAGATATATACTAGGTAAGGAGTTTCATTCCCCTATACCATTAACATGAGCCAAATTAACATGACTATACTTTTATAGTGTCTGAATTTTTTTTCTTTTCCTGCAGTTTCAAGTGATTAATATAACTCACAATGATTATAATCCTGGCAATATCTTAAATTGTATACAACAATCATTATAAATGTAAAATAATTGCTTTGATTGTTTTATTTAGCAAGACCTAGACTTTGCCATGGTCCTAGGTTACATCTTATAAAAGAGAAGGTTCATCTATAATTGTTCAGAAATATTTCTACATTATTGCCTGCTTGAACAATTTTTAATTAGATAAACTGTATTTTCAGTTTCTAGAAGGCTTCTATTATATTATTGAAAGCTGTCTGTAGGCATCTAGGACCTTGGCTATAATTTGATGCATAATTCTGTTTTGAAACTTGTATGAAGATTTATTTTTATCTTAGGAGTAAACTCACTGCATTGACACTGATAGAGTGAAGCAAAAGCGCACTGCATTAATTTCCATTGGATACTCGTGGCATAGAGCATGTCAATTACTGAGAAGGTAAAATAGCTTCATATATAGACAAGAATCAGTACTATTAGGATTTCATGGCCCAATAGAGAAGCAGAATGATAGGATTATTTCCAAAAGATGAAAAATATTTCCAAAAGATGAGAAGTATAAAACAAAAAGAAGCCTTTATTCTGAGAACAAGGATAGAGATGACTGGCACCTCCCCCACCGCTGGAGTCCAGTCATCTCTATGGCAGACACGTGGTGTGAGGGTATGTAAGTAGCCTCAGTCTGGGGTGGAACCTAAGGAGGACTTTAGGGATGGACAGGTAGCCCATTGGTCTTAGGTTTGGCGCCATAGGTAAATTTCCAGGGCTGAAAGGTGGCATCATAGGTAAATTCCTAGGGGCGGGGGAGATAGGGGCTTCTTGCTTTCTGTTGAGGCTTTCCTGGCTACAGAGACCTGTCTGGGCCAAAAACCTTTCACAGAATATAAGAAAAAGTAGCAGTGTCCTTTCTATTTAAAGAATGTGGAGAGGAACATACAGCCACCAAGGGTTTTCCATTTTTTTCTGACAGATTATGGGATTATAGGGTATATATGAAATTTGGTAGTGATGGCACTGACATTGACATCATGTAAGGAGCTGATTGGAATTTTCTTTTGGCCCCTGGGAAAGGAATGAGGAAGTTGTATTCAGGGAAAAACGAGGAAGTAGCCATATGGGTAAGAATCCCTGATTTGACATTTCACCCTGATGAACTACCACCATGATGTCCTGTAATTTATTCTAGAGCAAAACTCTTTAAAGTACATCCTTCAGTTTAAATTAAGAAATGAAAATAAAGAATTTTTGCTATGTGTCTTCTTCTATGGTTAGTGGTAAACAATTCACAAGGAAAGTTTCTAAACATTTCCTTAATGCATTGTAGATAGCATAAACAAAACTACAGATCAGTTCACTTTCAGAAAACAGAAGCAGCACTAAAAGTCAGGGATAAAGCCCTTCAATGCAAATGTCCCTTAAGAGGTGAGATCAACATTTAAGAATACAAGCATCTACTTAATTCTCTGACTTCAAGAAAAAGAAAAATTTACACTGTTATTGCTATAGGGTAATGAAACTCCAGGTCTACTATGTCTGGGATGAGTTTGTGTTGTCTGAAGTCAAAAAATGAATTTTAGAAAAAAGAGAAGTCAAGATAATATAATTATTGGGAGAAAGAAAGCTGTGTGAGAGAAAGCAAATGCGTCCTAACTGGGTTGGCAAAGACTGTCTTTTCCAAGGACTTTTAGAGTAAAATCATGTGGTGAGATTGGTTGAAGGTGGGGAAAACTGGGAACTCACAATGCAGATGGGCATAAGATGGGACAGAGCTATGGTAGCCAATAAGATAAATAGTTCAGGTAAAGTTGATTAAATTGAGAACAAAGGGGGAATGGAGTCACATAGAAAGCAGACATTCTTAATCAGCAGTGAATCTTCCCTTAGGGGTTTGGGAGGGTAACTCCTTAGTTCATCAGGATGATAGGAACTATTTAGAATGTCAGTCTTTAGGATAAGGATAAATTTCTTTGAATGGTGACTCCTGCCTTCCTCAGAGGGCTAGGGAACTATTTAGAATATCAGTCCTTAGGATATGGATGAGTTTGTTGATCTTCTGTCTTGAGGCTTAGCCAATAGCAGGATTTGCCCATCTTCTCCATAGTTGCAAGGTATCTGGGTTTCTGGATGGGCTGCTAGGAGGACCTAGCCCTGTCTCATTGCTAATCATAATTAACTAATTCAGCTCCACATGTTAGTATTTTTAGGAAAATTGAATACAGATGTCTTGTGCTCTGGGTGAGTGATCTGGGGATGACAGTGTGCAATGTATATACCAGTGTTGCCCCCTGATTCACATGTCTTGAAATTTAGTTTTAGATTATTTTTTCTTTTTATCCTTGAAATGAAAATTTGGAAATGAAAAGCCTGAGGTAAGGCACTTTGGTACACATATTCCTCTGTGTAGCTGAGATCAACACTGGTGAAGACAACCAGCTTCAGAAGTCTCTGACTACTGTCTATCATTTGGGATCCTCTCTTGCAGGAAGGAGTTCCATTCCCTGTTTATTTTTGACTTAGAAGTAGGGCAGTAGAGCAGCAGTCAATCAGTGATGAAGAGGCGGGCTATATGAAATGTCCAATCAGGCGAGCTGTGGGAGGAGGTCTCTTGGGTCTCTTCCGGTGTATAGAAATTGTGTACCTGTTTGGAATACAAAACTGGGAGCAGAATGCTTGCTGGATCTCATTTACTGGTTTCGATGTCCTGTGGCCTGATTAGCAAAGAACCTGGGAGACCCTCTAAGCCACAGAATGGTGAGGCTTTGGATGGGAGCCCAGAAATAGGGTGGAATTGGGAGAAGACAGTTACAAGTGGTGAGAAGTAGTTCTGGTGTGTGTAGACTCAGGTATTTAGTTAGCTTCAGCTCCAGAGGTCTTCTAGCATTGGTCTTGGGTCGTCCACTTTCCCTTTTTTCTTCTGCTGGGAGCAAGGATGATTCTGTGTCCCCAGAGCCCTGAATTAACTCTGATAGCAACAGACTGGAGTATCATCTTTGAAATTTTCTACTGCCCTGACAACTTCACCATAGAGAGCAGAGGAAGGAGCTTGGGAAGCCCCTGACTCTGATGCATTTTGGAGCTGGAGCATCAGTACTGAGCTTGGTCTCTGCTCTCATTCAAGGGATCAGCAACCTTGATGTTCTAAAGTTTATAAATGTTTGTAATGCAGGGCCTCATATCCACAATGGCACTTCTTAAACTTGTAATTTTTTGTATTTATAGGGATTGCCTAAATTTATCATATGTTCTCGCATTTCCAACCCCATGACAGGTGTTGGCAAAGATTATGAAAATTCAGAGATGTGCAGTGATGTGCTTCGGTGGAGGAAGGCTTTCCAAACACCTGGTGAACTCCTGTGTATGATAAATAACAGTGAAAATAATTTTCAAAATAATTTGTGACACGTGCTCATAGACTATATTTGTGAGAACAGCCATAGAAGTTTCAATTTTGAGAAAAATGAAGCAGATATAAAAGTGTCCTCAAGGGCCGGGTAAAGTGTGCTTGCTAAGGACAAATTCCAGAAAGGCCTGCCTGTTAAATTCTCACTGGAAAATGCCTAAATGTAGGAACATGCCTAAGTTGCATGAACATATACATGTGATATCCTTCTGAATGGAAAGGAATATGGGTGTCATCTCTGAATTAAGAGCTGCTTTTAATAGCGTGGTTGATCATATACATTGTTTAAATATTGAAATGCTCTGTAATGGACTTTACTAATTCGTGTAAAGAGATTCCCTAAATTGAAATTGTGCAGGTATATCAATAGTTAAGGCATGAAGGGTTTTCTGCTTAGGGTGGACCGGAGGAACATGGAAAGGATGTGGAAGTGACCAGCAGGACACAGTGTGCAAATAGCAGGACATACAACAGAGAGGGTCTTCACTGAGTCAGGTAGTACTTAGGGTAAGCATGAAGTTAAAGTTGAATTATGATATCTTCCTTAAGGTGAATAACACCAGCTCTGGTAACAATCAGTATTCCACATCTCTGTCACCCCATGAATTCTGTGTTATTCACTTGAAATCTAGTTTTGATTATCTCGAATTATGACTCAGTATCATGAAGGTGAAATTTGAATTTTTTTTGTACCAAGTATTGAACTCATGTTCTCAAGCTTGCAAGTTAGGTTTTCAAGCTGCTAGCTAAATACCCAGCTCTGAAAGTGTTTTCTGTATATTATGAATAATATCAACCTTGTTCCTCAGAAAATGTTGAGTATTGTGGAATGTTTCTTAATTGTATGGCTATAACTTTTTAAAGCAAACCAAAGGTGTCTTATGCAGTCATTTTCCAAGTTTCACATTGTCTGTGGGGTGTCTCCATCAGGGTTTCTCTATTTCAGGCAGCTCTGTAACTTAGGCTAGCCCCAAACTCAAGACAGTTCTCCTGCATCAGCCTCCCAAGATATATTTCTTATATCTGAGTGGAAAGTGATCACTTGTTGACACTGAGGTATAATTTGAAGCTTGCACCTGCTTTCATTGTTTATACATTTTTTACATACAGCAGATTTCCATGAACATTTGTGTTATAATTTATGTACCATATTTGATGTTATTTATGTTTTGTTCTATGAAACCAAATTCAAATATCAAAATGCTGCTTAAGTATATTAAGAACAAAGGACTCAGTGGCCTAATTGAGATTTGAAGAGATATAATTTGTAGTCCATCAAAGTGATGGATGAGATACTTGTCTGCCTCTGTGCTTTATGGATGCTGGTCCTGTAGGCTCTCACTATGAGCTCTGCATTAGAGACAATGCACACCAACTCTTGCAGTGACTCAGCATAAGAATCAGTGCTCCTATTTGGCTGTTACAGTAGTGGTGAGTTGCAACATAGCATGAAATCGCTGTCTCAAAAAATGTATATACAAAAATTAATCCCCAAGATATGGGATTAAGATTTGAAGAAATCAGTCTCCATTCAGCTGTTTTCTTTGGTTTTATTTGTTTAGTTTAGCTTTGTTTTATTGAGGCAGGTTTTCTCTGTGTATATCAGCTAGATTTGAACCCCTTATGGAGTGCAGAGTTGCCCTAACCACAAAGCAGCACTCCTGCCTCAGTTTCTGGAGTGCTGGGATTATAGATATGTGTGTTTTTACCCTAGAAAATATTGAGGCTTGTAACTTAGCTGTGTTGTAGCTTGGCATAGTAGATGGCATGTTGAGCTTTGCATTTAACTAGTGCCCTGTACTTCACCCAGAAAAATGGAAAATCACTCAGGGTAGAAGTCCAAGGAGTAAAGCAAAATGAGCTATACACAAAGAAAAAAATTAACCTGCTCAACAAAAGAAGCAGAATAAATTTGTCATCCAAAAATTATTATAAGAGTCTAGCTCAATGATTTCCAACAGGATCTTTTTGTGATTCTATCTTTTAAAATGTCTGTAACTTTCCAGTTCAAAGCCTCTTCTTTAGATCCTGAAATGGGGATGGGAGTTCTGTATACAAGTGGTCCTGAGACCAGCTAATGAAATTTCACATTTCTCAATTGGTTTGCTTGTCTTCCTATATTGTTGTTCACAAACTAAACTCAAGCTGCAGAAACCTTTACTGACACAAGCAAACACCAGGATTAAATGACAGTGGCACTGAAATGAAAGAATAATATTGAAAAGGAAAGGAGAAAAAAGACAAATGCCATGTGTTATAATGCCCACCTCTTTTCCCTAGAGATGAAGAGGTTGAAACAGGAGAATGGCCATGTATTCAAAGAGCCAACCTACCTAGTGATTGCAAGGCTGGCCAGAACTCCAAAGTGAGTCTATGTCTTTAAATCAAAAAACTAAAATGAAAAAAATAAACAAGGTGACAGAAAGACTATTTAAAAAAATAATTATGGAGCTGAGTGAAAGTTAACTTATGCAAAATGGGAATTATTGAATGATGCTGCAGAAGAAGGAAGGCCATGTAGTGGCATCCAGGAGGCAGTGACAAACACAGATTTAGGAATGGCACCTATTGCGCTACAGCACAACAGTGACCTCCTTCCCCCAATACATTTGTAGTTCACTAGACTGAGGACTTCTAAAAGTTCATGGAAATGTTAAACTCATGGCAAACAAGCAGCTTGAAATCCAGCCTTTGGAACATGGCCTTTAGCAGAATTTCATATTTAAATTTAAATAAGAAAAATATAATTCTGCCCTGTTTGATGTCAAATGCACCAAGTTTAATGGCTCACAACATTGAGAAACCAAGCCACAAACCAAAAGAAGTTCCAAAATTTTCTTAGAAAAAAAGAGAGAAGAATAGCCCTGAATTTTCTGGAGTGGTCTTCAGTGTTTTGGCCACAGACCTATTGTCAGAGAACAGTTATACAGTAAAGTCCCAATGTGGGTACAGTGTGGGTCTCAGACTACAATCAACCTATAAGCTTATAGCTGCTTAACTAATATTATTCAGCAGGGGAACAAGTCAGCCCGAAAAGGTATGTGGAAAGAGCCAAGGCATTTTGTGGGAACAATAGTCCAGTTGTTCTGGTCTTTGAGTATGGTAATTGAGGCCTATGAGGACTTCCTGGAACAGGTGGTGGAAACTGCAGTACATTTCAAACTATTGTTTTTCTCTTCAGGAGCATGTAGACATTGTCACTGCATCTTCACCTTCAGTTCTGGCTTTCTTCAGCTGTGCCTGTAGCAGTGATTGTTGTGTTTAGTTTTTTGCATTGACTCTTTGAGGTTCCAGTTCTTCTCTGATTGTATATCAATTTCTGTCTACATTGGCATCCTTTGCTAAAATCACAATAGTATTTGAATGAATAAAGTGATGTTTATACATTTAAAACTATTCATTAATACAGGCCAGGGATTTAAGCTCAGCAGGCAGAAACGTCTGCCTGGAAAGTGCTAGGTTGTAACTTTGATCGCTGGTACCTATAAACAAAAGTAATTTAAACTGCAAGGAAATAAAATCTTTTCATTTGCGAAAATGTAGGTTTATAAAATTTATAACTAAATATGTCAATGGCAAATTAAACATTGTTAATAGTCATATTTAGTATCTAAAGTTGTTGATTCTGGGTGTTGAATTCAGAGATAAAAGAAGCTGCCTGGAGTGCACAAGGACATGAGTTCAATCTCTCATACAAAAAAAAATTCACAGTTGTCAGTGATTTAGTGCTATGAGCACATTTATTGAAACTGATACTTGTTAATTAATAGGCTTAATATTTCCTTTGTGGTCTATGAAATACCTGCACATAACATGCCAATTACAGTAAATGATGTACTGTCCCCTATAGTGTTAGACCAGTGTCGCAAGGAAGACTCCAAGGGCCTCACTCTCATGTAAAAACAAAGGGGTTTTTATTATTCTGTGTACACGGGGTCCTCCAAACAGGTGGAAATGGAGAACCCTGAGTTGGGGCAAGGCTGGTGTTTTTAAGGATGAAAACCGCAAAGCAGGCGGGTTACAGAAGCAGATCGCATTGGTTAGTTTTGAACGGTGCAGGGCTTGGCAAAAGCTGATTGGAGGGGCCCAGGGTTGGGTAACTATGGTGTCCGGGGTTCTAGCCTGGTCACTGTGTTCCCGGAACTGTTACTTATCTTGCCTAACTCACTGAAACAGAACATCCTGTGGTTTTATGACCAACGGAAAGTCCCTTCTTGCTTTGTACAGATAGCTCGGGGGTTGCAGCTGTAAAGTTAACTCTTACAGTACAATCTAATACAATCTGATGCAATTAACACAATTTGTGATGGGGCTACCAGATAGGGAAGACTCAGGATGTCAGGAGCTATTA